AAAATCTAGATATAAATTATATATATAGATAGGAAAAAGATAAAACAAATTTTGCTGAAGTAACTAGCCTTCACCATATGATGTAGCACTGACTGCAACGTGGGCCCTTGTAAGGGTGCTTTGTGCAAAAATGTATTAAAAGTACTTGTGCTATTTGAACGGGCCACCTCTGCTAGCTCGTCTCCATTGGAGGAGGCCCGGGCACCCAAGAGGTGCTGCTGGTATTTGGGGCCTTGAGATTCTAGCAGTGCCTGTCTCACCAGTGGTATCTTAGGAGACTGGCGTTCCTATTTTGAAAGACAACACAGAAAGGGAAAGTGTGCAGTCATGGGGCCAGGGTTTTGACAAAGCACGATGCTTTCAGAATCAGAGGCATCCATATAGAAATGTTTCCTGTTACCTGACACATCCAGGTGTTCCAGGTTTGGGCACAGTGACACGACATCAAAGACCGCCTCATTGGAGATGTTGTAACAGCCAGACACCTCCAGCCTTCTCAGTTCTGGACAGCACTGGGCAATGGTGTAGAGTCCTCTGTCTGTGAGCCGCCTGCAGCCACTAACAATTACCGTCTCCAACATGAGACATACGTTGGGTGTATCCTGACAAAGCCTCCGGGTCAGCACTTTAAGAGCCCTGTCTACGTTGATTGTCTCGCCGGTCAGGCGAATAGTCCTCCAAAGTCGGGGGTCCCAGGCAAGGTTATACCAGCGGCGGCACACACGGGCACAGCGGCACAGCTGGTTGGTGGGCAGGAAGGAGAATATCTGGATCATGGAATGGTCGGGCAGCCGGTCTATGTTGGCCTGTTCCTTCTGGTGCTTGGACGCCAGCCGGATGAGAGGGTGAGTGAGACGGGTTGGAGGTGGCGAGTGGACCATGGCAACAGTTTCCCCAGTGACTGAGGATGAAGATGTCGACGACCCTCTGCCATTCTGGAAAGTAGGGGAATTTGGTGGAAATATTAATGCTGGACTGGGTGTGCTGAGCGTCCGCATGCTCAGGTCGGAGTCTGGAAGACAAAACACACGATTTCAGTGAGCGGTGGGCAGACACAGAGCTCTCTGCACAACACAGCACCCCGCTAGCCTGTTTGTTAATGGAGCACGATGGGCTCTGGGGTTTGTTGGGGGTTAAGCAGTCATTTTTACCAGTGAGAGTAAGGAAACACATATTTCAAAATCTATCTTACAGTATGCTCTGAAAACACTGTTCATCTCAGTGTTGGGTACATGACAGAGATGCACCCATAGCTGCGCTGTCAAAGCCACGGTAGCAAAGGAGAGGCTGCAGGTCTGAGCCCTGTAATGAAGAGGAGATGGCAGTGGAAGTCCAGGGATTCTAATTCTTTATACTCTCAACTAAACACTGTAAGAAATGAGTAAATTTGAGTCTCAGGCTTTTTTTTACAGAGTACCTTGGCACTACCTAGACAGCTGTGAGCTGTTAGGGGAGGAATACTGTGGTCCTTCACCTCTCAGCTCCTTCAGCCATTCAGTGGGAGGCCAAAGAAGAGCTCACAAGTGCTTCTTCCTTCACCAGACTTGGGCAGATGGGAAAAGTACAAGCCCATACGCTTATTTTCAAACCCTGTACGCTTATTTTCATTGTGTCATTAAAGAAGTTCATTTTTTGTTCATGCAAACTGGGACTCAGCAGTTCCACCAAGAGCCCAGTTCTTGAAGGAGGGCTGGTTGTGCCTCTTCATGTGCACGCAGAATTTTCCCAATGGACTAAAGCGAACTTCAGTTGGATTTGAAAAAAACAAGCCCAGAAAAATAAGTGGCGAAGAAACAGCATGCCTGGAAACTTGTTACAGAGCTGTTGCACAACATTTATATGCTCTTTTTGCTAGGGCTAACTGTCACGCTGGAGGCAGTCAACCCCAAAAAACCCCACACAAACCAATTTGCTACTTCTTTTCCTTCTTTATTTCACTTTACTGGCAAAAAGCAGGCACAAAAATAAAGGGCCTCTGCTACTAAAAATGTTGCCTTTGCTCTAAGATTATTTCAACTGTTTTCCCTCTGTTCTGACATTGCTGCCTATGAGTCATTTCCACTCCTGCTCCCAGCTCTCCAAGCAGAGCACATAAAAGACTGGAAGACAACTAGGATATAATTTTGATAGTCAAGTGAATGCCATGGACAATACATTTGCCAACCCTGAGATATTTCAGCAGTACGCTACACAAGATGGAACCAGTGTGTGAGAGATGAATGCTGCTGCTGAGCACGCTCCTTCCATCTCTGACCTCTCAGTACTGATGTCAACAGAAATTCTTTATGAAGTACCATCCAGAGATGAATACAGGAACCGCAATTTAGTGCCCAGTAGAATAACCAATATCACGAATGGAGTAAGACCAGTGGTTTTAGAGCACCAAGCTTTCCTCCACATCACATCTTCTGCTATCACCTCAGTGTTCAGACATTTCAGGGAAGCATGCAAAGTCATCTCCTTAAGTAACACAGCTTGTGACTGCGACAGCATAGATATGGGTTAAGCAGGGTAGAGCCAGAAATGCATTCAACAAACCTTGATTTTTAAATTAAGTACATTTTAGATCAATTTGATCAGTGTATTACACATGAATTTCCTATCAACCTTAGCCCAGCAGAGGCACGCTCTGTCTCACTAGCTACAACAGTAGCAACCACAGGCCTGCATTTTCACAGCGAGTCTACAAGGGTGAGAGGCACAACTATTTAGCCAAAGAACCCACGACGCAAAGTCCAGAAGCTTGCCCAAGACCACTTAGTTCAGCTGCAGAGAGATCAAACTCATCATGTCACGCTGTGAAGGAAAAACTTACACTACCCAGCTCCTTCTCTCTTCTGTATCTTGTTTTACTTAGACAGAAATTCAGTATTTCAGCAAGTGACAGGAAAAACATTTTCCTCAAGGCTTCTGAGTCTATGCTATGGCTACATGGATCTAACCCAGGGATTTGTGTATTTTTGAGCAAGAATCATATCTTAACACAGAGTGGGTTTTGCAGACACTCTGCTCCCCTTTGAGACCTCTTAATACCCCCCCTGGCAGCTATTGCAAATAATTGCATGGAGGAGTGTTATTTGGAAAGTGTCTGGTATACTCCGGTATTTTAAAAATGAGATTTACAGCTGGAGTGAAAAAAACCCAAAACACCAGCAGCAGTCAGGCTCCTGCAGACAAGCACTGACTCCACAGACCACTTAGCAACAGTCTCCTAGATTAATTTTTGCAAGGACTTACCATATGTTTGACCTCCCTCACATCACCACCAAAACCAATGACAGTGCCTGAAGTTAAACATGTGCAGAAGATGTGGCAGACTTGGAGCCTTTACTTCTTGTTCTTTTCTTGAGATTTTAAGACAAGGATGCTTCTAATATAAAAGAATACGTATTTTTTCCAAGTGCTGGATGTATCTTCCGCTCCTACATATATTTAGTATTGTGAATTCCTCTCCTTTCCTTTTACTTTTTCATTTGCTTTGGGCTTTTTGTTTGGTTGGTTGTTTTTACAAAAACCAGCACAAAAAGGGAAAACAAAATGATATAAATAAAACCTACAGAAAAAACCACTTGCTTCCACACTGAAAAATAGATGGAACTAAAATCAAAAGCAAAAAGTTTCATTTTTTAACATCTACTATAAACAATTCTTAGTACTGTGGGAAAGATTACCTCCTGTAAGACAGTCTCTCAGCATATTTTGAAAACATACATTTTAAGTCAGTTCTTGTTGAAAACACCTAAAAATCTCTGCAGGGTTACATTCTTCCCTATTCTCCATTCCTAGTTAAGTATAAAAAAACATTTAATACTCCCTGGTTCTCTCCTGCTTCCCCTGGTGATGAAAGCACCAAGCTAATACGGCTAATCTCCACTCCTTTTGGATCAAAAGTAGCATTCCTTCATCACTCCTGGGCACTCTGTGAATAATCAATATCTTAGACATTTTGGGTGAGTAATGAATTACCAAAAATGTGGTTTTTAAATTAGACCTAGAGCTAAAAGAGGTTTGACCTTCTGTTTTATGAGTATGTGCTTGCTTCGTGCTCTCTTAATTCTCTCATTCATGTAGCAGCTTCAGATGTGCATCCTGTATTTCCTTTACCTTCAGTCCTGAAGGTGCATCATGTGAAACTTGCTCCTGCCACCTTCAAGGCACGGCCTTCCAGACAGACACATACATGCACCCTGTCTCCCCAAAGTATTTTGGAAAAAGACTGTACTGCTGTCATTATGTTTAAACAAGAGAGCCAAGAGACCATTATGGGTCTGCTGAGCTCGTAACGCAATGCGCTCTCAGACAGGAATTTTGCTGGTAGCTCAGCTGAACTCTGTACAGAGGTATTCCCGCTTACTGTTCGTTGTACACCCCTAAGGGGAAAAGAAAAAAATAGCAGGTGAGTCCAGGAGCCTTTTGCCAGTAAAAACTGGGAAAGCTTTTTGCTAGCATATAAAGCTTCAGCAAAACACTTGATCTACTGTACATTTTCCAGGCTTTTCAAGTATTGTTGGGAGGGGCTTCCTCTAGCACTATCTAAACCTCTAAGGGTTTCCTGCAAATTTTGTTCTTCGCCATTTGCTGAGTGCTAGCTGACAGGCTGAGTCAGTCTGAGACAGGGCAACCTAATGACAGTGTGACATTAATAAACACAATCCCGCAAGTGCAAACAAAGTTACTGATTGCAGTTCTCAATATAGATCTTTACACACACATATGCCCTGTGCAAGCATTTCTTTTCTGTTCTTTTTCTTCAATTGTTTACAAGACTGAAATGCAGCTTTACATTTTGGTGATCTTAGAAAGTAAAAAACAAAATACAACGCAGTCCTATGCTTCCCTCCCTACAAGCTCTTTTGCCCCTTTCCCTCTGATTACCAGTCATCTTCTGTGCAAGATGCTTTTTATTAAAGCTTTGCTCGGGCTCTGAAAATTGTTTGTTGATGTAAGAGAAAATTTCTTAACAATCTCTAAAGAAATCTCAAAAGATGCGTGCCAGAAACAGAACTATAAAAGCTGACACAGAGGGAGAAAATGCACTGGAGGGAGTTTTCTTATTCCATTCGGAATCTGGTTTATTTCAAAGGATTCCCCCCACCCCCAGTTTGTTTCCCAATTAATACATACATCTGGGGAAAAAGAGCCTTTAAATATTTAAAGCAAGATCTAGTCTCTGCTCCTTCTGGCATTGACAACAATATGCAGTCTTTGATTTCAGAACCAGCGAGAGAAAACAATGTTGTATTTTTGTTAGTCCAGTGATGCACAATAACACGGGACACTTGATGTCCGGACCCCAGCATGGACTTCTTAAGATTGATCCATTTTCCATGCTTAAAGCATGACTCCATTCAACCATGCCTTCCACTATGCTATTGCGGGTGTGCCTTTTCTAAAGTGAATCCTATAGCAAGCTCCTCAAGTTAACAAAATTAAAATGAAATTTTCAGTAAATATCAATCAAACTTCAGATTCTTATCTGACAACTAAAAAGGATCCTTCATGTTGATCTGCTGTCATCACTGAGGTTTTTAGCAAAACTAAGGCAAGAATTAAACCAAACTCAGGCTCTGAAAAGTCAGTATAGCTGAGAAAAATAACAAGCAATTGGCATTTTTTTTCAAAATGTTAGATGCAAAATAATGTGTGCAAGAAGCATTTACACGTAGCACAGAAATGTCACTTATTTAGCATTTTTTCAATAACAGTGTTGCATAGATATTACATATTTTACTAAGTGCAGTGTGGGTATAGACTTCACATTTTTATCACGATACCATCAACTTCGTGGATGCCAAGGAAGTACTCCTTTTACCGAGACTGGGGAAAGTGGGAGCTTAATGGTTGTAGCAGCTACAGTTTACAGTGCAAAAGGGGAACAGAAGCAGCTAGCAGGCTTCTACAGGGGGAATATCGCGGGCTAATTCGAGGAGAGGCTTGTGAATTTGACAGACAGATGTCAAATACAGCTGCGTGCCCTTAGTGGAGGTTAGAAAAAGGAGTTAGC